TGGTGTTGGCTTACACACACTGCGGTATTTACACAAGTTGTCTGCTACAGGCAGTGTCAGGGCGCACACCCTGACTAGCCCGGACCCGGACCCGCATCCGGACCTGCTTCCACCCGCCGCGCTTCCCGCACGCGCGCACGCTCCACACGCCGCATGCTCTGGGCCCGGTTCCTACCCCTTCATGTGACTTCCGGGTATCCCCGGAAGTTTTGCTGATATTGTGGCCACTGTGGGAAGATGAGAAGTTAGCTTCCTTCTCATCTTCTTACCCACAGTAGGATTGTGCCCTGGATAGGGCTGGCCAGACCAGAGGCTGTGGACCATAGGGGAGGGTCATGGGGACCCGGGAGTCATCCCCTGACAGGCAGCCAGGATGCATCCCTCACCGGTCGCCCTCCTGAAAATCCTCTTGGGGATCCTTCTCTGGCCCTCTCTGCTCCGTCTCTGGCTCTCCAGTCAACTGGCTCCTCAGTCCTTCCATCAGTGCCTGGAGGTCTTCAGGGTGGAGGTGTCGTACTCGACAGACCTTGGGGTGCTGGCACTCCCAGGCAATGTGCCCTGGGGCATCACAGTTGTAACACAGTGTCAGGGGACAGACCCCGGTCCCCATGACCCCTCTCTACAGTCCACAGTCTGGCCTGTAAACACAGCCCATCTCAGGGCATAGCTACTGTGGGTAAGAAAGTGAGAAGAAGGTTAACTTCTCACTTTCCCACAGTGGCCCAATATGGCGAAAACTTCCGGGGATACCCGGAAGTCACATGAGGTGGGATTCGGGGTCGGATCATGCGGCGTGCAGAGTGTGCGGCACAGGAAGTGCGTGGGAAGTGGAGCAGGTCCGGACGCGGGTCCGGGTCCGGGCTAAGTCAGGGTATGTGCCCTGACACACAGCCTGTTCCTCCTCTGGTTGATCCTTGAGTGATCAAGGTCCATTGGCTGCAGGCCCACTCCACTCACGGGGCAGACTGTAGGGGTTGGGGGTAGGGGTATGGGTGTGGGCTGCAGGGGTGCAGGCGTGGGGCATGCGTGAGAGGGGGCGGTAGTTGGTAGGGGTCATCCCAGCAGGAATGGGGGTCTAGACAGGGGTGTGCAGGGCTGCGTTGCTGTCAGGGCACACCTGCCTGACCTGGTTCCACCTGGGCCCACCTGGGCCCACCTCACCCGCTCCCGCTACCCATCCTTCCTCCTCCCTCCTTCCTCCCTCTTCCCCTTCCTCCCTTTCCTCCCTTTTCCCTCTTTTCTCTTTCTCCTTTATTTCATTCTCCCTTTCTGTTTATTCTTTCTATTTACATGGACCACCTTCCCTTGTATCATTGTACTGTTGACCTGTCCGGCTCGGACACCCCGGACGACTTCCCACTATGCCCAGCACCTGCACCTGCAGCGGATGCCCTCAGGATCCCCCGCAGGGATACCCGGATGGCTGTGGCTCTCTCCGTAGATGACATGGCACTCATCATGTGACCCAAGCCGCATGTACATAAATGTACCTGAAGTGGGAACTGAAGAAGTAACCTTCTTCTCACGTTTTCCACTTCAGGTAAGTAGTGTAGTTCTTCCTTTTAATAACAATTCACGTTTTCCACTTCAGTCTAAGTGGCCAGGGACTACAGTCCCAGATCGGGCCCGTCAGTACACGCGCCCGCTTCATCCCCCGAGAGGGTCCCTCTGCCGGGCGCTACAGCGGGCCCCCTCCACCCGGACGCGTCCCTGACAGTTGCCTGGAAACGTCGCCATTGGTTATTGAGGAGAGTGGCCTCGCATTTCCATTCAGCCCAGGTGGTGGGCATGGGACAGAGGTGGTAAGTGCTCTTGCGGAGCCGGGCATTGATTGCTTGCTTGAAGCGGTCGACTAGCCCAATGTCACCCAGCCTTGAGGTGGGTCCCAGTATTTCAAACTCCTGGATGACCTTATCCACAGAGTCACTCCCTTGTCGGATGTTTGCCAGTTTCTGCTGGGCTGTGGCTTCCCAGTTTGGATCCTGGAACATGGCATCGAGTTCTGTGTTGAACTCGTCCATGGTGAGTGTGGGCAAGCCGGCCATCAGCAATGTGATGGTGCGTTGCATGGCCCATGCTCCTGTGGTCCCTCCCTTCATATAGGAGAGCATGAAGAGGATCTGCAAGAGGGTGCTGGGGAACTCGGCCGCACGGACGTGGAAGTAGATACCGCATTCAGCTTTGAAGCGGTCAAGATCCTTGCTGGCTCCCAAGAGGGGGGTAGGGGGGGCAACCTTGGGGCCCTTGGGTCTGGGCTCGGGTGTTGGTGCAGGTGGGGGGCAGGTGCGGGTGCAGCCCAGTTCAGGGTGTTGTCAGGGACCGACCCGGGGTCTCCGGTAGGTATGACATGGGCGTGCGTAACAACAGGCCCAAAGCAGGCAAGGGTCCCTGGCCACTCAGGCTAAAGTGGGAAATGTGTTATTGTTATTATCAAGGGAAGTGTAAGCTACTTGCCTAAAGTGGGAAATGTGAGAAGAAGGTTGCTTCTCAGTTCCCACTTAGGCTGTGTTTATATACATGTGGTTGAAGGCCACGTGGGAAGTGCCACATCATCTAAGCACACAGCCACCTCCATCCGGGTACCTCTGTAAGAGGTCCTAGGAGCGTCCGGTATGCGGGGGGTCATCCGGTGTGTCCGGGTCCGGGCACGTTACACTGCAGCCGGGTCAATGGTACATTGATACAAAGGAAGTCGTCCGTGTGATAAGAAAGGAATAAAGAGGAAAGAGAAGAGAAAAGAAGGGGAAGAAGAAAGGGGAGAGTAAAAGGGGAAGAGGGGGGAGGTCAGGAGGAGCAGATGGTGGGGCACTGGGTTAGGTGGGGCCGGGTCAGGCGGGTGTGCCCTGACAGGTGTGACTTTCGACAATGGCCTGTAGTTCTTTGAACCGGGCCAACAGGTTGTTGAAAGAGGGCTCATGGCTCTCTATGCCAACTAAGCTCGTGGGGCCAAACTCTCCAAAACTCCTACTTCTTGACTAGACTTCGCTATGCTCTCGATCCTTAAACTCCATGTGGGTTCTCCGGGATTTCCGCAAGGTCCGGGCTCAGTGTCCACTACTCACTCGTTGTGAGCTAGATCACTGCCCCTATTCCTACTGTTGAAATTCCACACACTCACACCCTCTCTAGCGCATCCTAGCACCTTAGAGAATTTTGGGGGAGGGGAGAACTTCTTTTCAAAAATCCGGTATGTACAGGATTATAAGAAATAATTATTTTTAGAAATAATAGATGGTGAATATTGGTGCCATATGGCACCTGCATACCTTATTAGGCGAAATAATAAAAAAGGGTAACAGTAACAATAAAAGAATATCAATCAATATCTGAAATGATGGCAAAATATGAAAATAAGCGATATCTCAATGGATTTGCGGAATTAAGAGCCTAAATTGAAAATGTAGCCGGAGATAACTTTCACGCAGCCGATAAGCATTTTTACCAATTTATTAGATGCCTGGGAACGAGTGAGGCTGGAATTCTGGGTTGCCGCTTGAGATTCCCACGCCTGCACATGCCCGTGACCTGCTGTGCCTAACTTGCCCAACATAGAACTCTGTCAATTCTCCACCGTTTGGGACGTTCTTGATACCGTCGGAATCGTACGAATTAGCACTATTTTTGGATACCAAATTTGTACCGAGTCGTCGCGTGAATGAAAGTCATTTCCTAATCGTAGAATGGGGTATCCGAGCCGAGTCTGTGCATGGGTGATTATCCCACCTACATCGTCATATTGTTCTTCTGACACCATGGCAGGGGAGGAGGTGGAGGAAGTGTAGTTGAAAACTTCTTCTGCTGTCAGGGACACATCCAGGGTCGAGGTGATCTGGGCATAGCGTCCGGTGCTAAGGACCTCACAGGGGGTAGATCAGGCCTGTGTACTGGCAGGCCTGATGCAGGACAGTGATCCCTGGCCACTTAGACTGAAGTGGGAATGTTGAGAAGAAGGTTACTTCTTCGGTTCCCACCCCAGGTGTGTTTATATACATGCGGCTTGGGTCACATGAGGTCCGCCATGTCACCCTGCATACAGCCACAGTCACCTGGGTGTCCCTGTGGGGGATCCTGAGGGCATATGCTGCATGTGTGCACACTAGGTTGTGCCCTAGAGCCGTCTGGGGCATCCGGGGCTAGGCATGTCATGTGCGCATCGCAGGCGGGTCAATAACACATAGATATAAGGGAAAGGTCGTCTGTGTCATATCCATACAATCCTGACCTCCGCTCCGGGCTCCCAGAACTCCGAACTCCGACTTCCGGAGCCCTACTTCCCTTCCGTCACCTTCTCCTTGCCGACTCCCAAGAGGCTATCCCACCTCCGGCTCAGACACCACCTTCGGTCCGACTCCGGAACATTCCGGGTCCGACCCCAACCTCGACACCTTCCAGACGAGTACGCAAAACCTATGCTCCCGACTCCGGACCTCCGCTCCGGAATCCTGTTTGCGTCTCCGTCTCCGGAACCTCCGGTCTTAGCTCCGACCTCGGACTTTGACCCCACCTCCACTTATACCCATTGTATTGGTTAGCTCATTCCATTTAATTATGTTTGCCAATATTCCGGAGTTTAACTTCCGAGTTCGGACTTTCCGGACTTATGTCGGACCTTGCAACTATTGCATTGCTCCATTCAATTCCGCTATTCTCCCTCATTCCTATTTGGGCTGCTGCTTCCTTTCTATTCAGTCAGCTAGTCATTCCCCACTCCCAACCTCCTTCCTTCCTCCTTGGGCCTTGGCCCTTCACTCCTCCTTTGGGAAACACCATTGAGTCAAACCCTTGACCCTCAGTGTTGTTCCTCTTTCCATCTCCCTTTGTCTCCTTTCGTCCTACCCTCGCTCCTTTTGATTCCGGACCCCTCCTTATATACAATGTACATAGTAACTTGTAACCTCAGTCCAAAATCGACATGAATTCCCCCAAGAGACTTTCCCTCTGCTAGATCCGAAATTAGGGACCCCTAGGACAACCAGCAATGGCACAGCGCTCCGCCTGAGTCACTGAGGCCAAGGTCCTTCCATGCTAAGTCTCCGATTCCACTCCGGAGTTGTCCGAATCCGCCTGGTTCTAACAGTCCGTGAGAAATAGAAATAGAAGTGGAAGAGGGATAGAGGGGGGAAGGAAGGGTGCAGGGTGAGAGAAGAGGTACCGGGTGAGGTGGGCCCAGGTGGAGGCGGGTTGGGCGGGTGTGCCCTGACATGAGGGGCAAGCTTGTCATCTGCTATGAACCCCACTAACACCACCCCAACAGGATGAATGGAGCTGAGTGCAGTGAGCTATCAGCAAAATTTTCAGTACAATCGATTGATAGTTACTGGATTCTGTACTACACCTGAGCAGCATATTTTCCCATTATTTTCTGCAACAGATAAAGGCCTTCATTTGGTTGAGCCTCCCTCTCATCCTTCAATAGAACAAGGTCCCTGCAATGTATCAGGATTTTATCATAGAATGCTTTTGCTTCTTCTGCCTGGTCAGGGTACTTCCTATCGATATCCTGTTGCCGTAATTTATGCAGGCATGCTGCTTCTTGACTGTCAATTCCAGCTAGGAAATGATTAGTCCCTAATATCTTGCAAGTATGTGGTTAACTCACAGTGAAGCTTAAGCCATGTTTGCCAAGCTGTTTGGCCCACTTCAGTGGGATTGTGTAAACGGAACCTCTTCATAACTTCTTGGGGGGACTTCCCCTTTTTCTGTGCATAGCCAGCAATGCAAGCTTCTAAAAAAACTGCAGGGGGTCTTTGAGTATTTCTAAACGGTGTAAGCAACAGAGACACCAATGCACCTTCGAGACTCAAATCATCCATAACGAGTCCTTTCTCTAGTATATCTCCAATATCTCCAACTGTTAGATGAGCAGGCAGAGTTGTCTGGAAGTGGAGAAGGGACTCAGGAGTGGACGGACCTTGGCCTCAGCAACTCAAGTGGAGCGCTGTGCCATTGCTTGTTGTCTAAGGTGGTCCTTAACTTCAGGTTAGCAGGGGGAGTCTCTTTGGGGGACAATCCAGTTGTCATTGTCATCGTGGTCGATTTCAGACTTGGGGTACAGGAACTATGTACAGAGTGTATATATAATACAGGAGTGGAGTCAGAGGACAAAAGGAACTGGAAGGAGAACAAAGGGGGACTGGATGAGGGAACAACCCCAAGGGTCAAGGGTTGGAACTCTATAATGCTTCCCAAAAGGGCAAGGCCAAGAGGGGAAGGAGTGGAGTGGATTGTGGGGAATGACAGCTGACTAATATGGAAAGGAAGCAGCTGTCTAAATAAGGAAGAGGCAACAAGAGGATTAAATGACACCATACAGTAGAGACTGCAGGGTCCGGAGTAAGTTCCAGAGGTCCGGAGTCGGAAGTTAAAGTCCGGAATATTGGCTAGACATAATAAATGAAATGCAATAAGGAATACAAGGAGATAAGACAGAGGAGGAGGTCAAAGTCCGGAGCCGGAGATGTGACTGGAGTTCTGGAGGTGGAGGTGCAATAGGGTTCCGGTAAGGAGTCCGGAGCCGGAGGTAAGGAGCATCGCAAACTCTGGTCTGGAAGGTACGAGGTTGGGATCAGACCCGGAGTAAACTGGAGTCAGATCGGAGGTAGTGTTGGACGTTGTGTTGGAGCCAGAGGTAGAGTGGACTCTCAACAACCAACAGGGGGAGGAGGGGGTGGAGGATGTGGAGTTCTGGAGGAGGAGATGGAGGTCCAGAAACAGGAGCAGAGGTCTGGAGTTGTATGGATATGACACCAACTGTCTCTGTCAGAGACCAGACTCGAGACGAAGGAATGTCTCCGTAACGGAGGGCTTTGGCCTCAGCGACTTCTGCCAAGAGCGCTGTGCCTAGTGACACGTCCGTGCCCTAACTTACTGACTGCCAATTAGAACCTAAGGGGGTAACTCTAGTTGATTTTACTACTGGGGCGTAACCTATGTACAAGTGGGATATATATATGGTTACAGCGGAGACGGTTCCGCAATTGGTGGAGCCGAACAGAGCGGAGCTAACGGGGTTGAAACATTAGCCGACTGAATATTACCGACGAGTCGGTTTGCGGGGTTAGTGGAAAGGCAGGCGTTAACCCAGAAACGGAAAGGAGGGATAGGCCCGAAGGTGGGCTCTGCAGGGCAGGCGAGTGTATTGCCCAGCGGAGGCGGGGGTGCGCTAGCGGACGTCAGAGCTGTCCGGAAGTCTTCGGGGCTCCGTACTTAGGGAGGCGTAGGTAATAAATTGAAATGAGGGGGTGGTGACCATCGAGGGGTACTGAGAGGTTTGCGGAATACGGGGGCTCCGAGGTTGGTGAGAGAGGAGCGGAGTTAGAATGGAGGGAACGGAGGGACCGGAAGTCGATGGCCGGGGATGGATATGACAGTCTCAATAGATGAATGACCCCATATTTTCTGCACAATTCCCTTCACAATTTGATCAGGGGGGACAAGTGGTTGGAATTGTGGCCTGTCTTGAAGTATGTTGTGCAATAAGCTCTTCCAACTCTGCGAACAGGCCATCTGTAGCTCTGAGGGAGTTGTTGGCAGTGGAAGCCATAGTCAACAAGGTCATGCCACTGGAGAAAGTGGCCTGAAGGGTCAGAATGGATGAGTCAAATGCATTTGAAGATGCATTCTGCGGGAGGGAAGGCATTCTCAGGGGATTTCTTGTTCTACCAGTGATTTTTGGTTTTGGGGGAACAGAAAATTTTCCTCCAATTTGCATCCAAACTATCAATTTTGATCTAGCAACAAGCCTGAAGAGAGGAATTTGTATATCTATGCCGTTTCACCAGCCTTTACCCTGTTCAACCCATCCTCTACATTGCTGTCAGGGTCATGCATGCTCGCAATGAAGGATGCCCCAGAAACCTAATTGATATCAAAGCTGGGGGACATGCCCATCCCAGCACATGGTCATATATACACGATAGAGGTGGCAACTAGTCAACTAGCTAATAACCGGTAGTATCGGATCAAGAATGATAGAAGATCATGTGGTGTCATAACCGACAGCTGCAGATCAGATCAGATCGGAGATGAAGAAGAAGAAAAGAAGTAGAAGCTGATGGAGATACAGGTCATGTGGCAATGCACTACTTACGCTAGCGACCCGAAGGCATGCCCTGACAATTGCAACCTTGTATCAGGTAGCAGGCACAGAATTCAAACGGAAAATTGGACATTCTGACCCTTTCCTCAATGCTACACATCTACACCCATCTGCAACCTGATTTCCCCTTTACAGCAGGGGACAGAAAAATCTGCTGGTTGTGATTCGAACAGGTAAGTGGGGCAGGTCAATCATCTGCCTAAAGAAGTTGGCAAGATCATGGCCTCACAAAAGGGGTTTCCTTATTTGGATGAACAGCTCAACGCCAGGGTCCCCACCCTAGAATAAGTTGATGTCAAGGCACACACCCTGACTAGCCCGGACCCGGACTGTCAGGGCACACCCACCTGACCCCACGCCGCACCCCGCGCCGTACCGCACTACCCCATTATCACTCCCTGTCTCCCCTCCCCCGTTTTCCCCCTTCTCTCTATCTCTATTTCTATTTCTATTCTACAGTCGATTTCCCTTTCTCCATGTACTACTACATACCTGACCCCGCCCCCCTGATCGCCGCACGTGCCGTGCACACTCCCGCCTACTGAGCGGCCACCTCCGGGATCTCCCACAGAGACACCCAGGGAGGTGCGGCTGTGTGCAGAGATGACGTGGCTTCCTCCACATGACCCTGGCCGCATGTATATAATAGTGCCTGGGGTGGGAACAGAAGAAGCAGCCTTCTTCTCAACTTCCCACTTCAGGTAAGTACCGTAGCTTTTCCCTTTTAATGATAATCATCAACTTCCCACTTCAGACTAAGTGGTCGGGGACGCTCACCCCACGATGGGATCACCGCTATGCACAGCCGCTACTCATGTTATAAAAATGGGGCCTAATTGGCCCATTTCTATAGCGTTCGGGTGCAGGAGGGGGCCGTGACATTGAGAAGATGTTACAATTAATGTAACAGATGTTGTAACAGTGGTGTTTACAATAACATGGACATCGGGTGTTTTAGGTGATAATAGTTGGTTAGGTTGTTATTATTTACATGTCACGTGATATTGTACTGCATAGAGCCCATAAGAGGCTAAAAATGGGAAAATCCCATTTCCATAACAACTCGTCCCACCGAGTCCCGTGCGCAGGGACCTCGCCGCTTTCGGAGCTGTCCCTGACACGGACCCACGTTGTAAGGGGGCAGGGGATCTACCACCCTAACGAGAAAGAGAGGGGGCCAAGTGTTGGGAACGCTCAGGGGAGGTTCGGATGATGAGGAAGGGGGTGTCAGGATCCGGACCCCAGCTGGGAGTGGCCGGAGGGCGAGGTCGGGTGTGGAAGCTGGGGTACTCTCCCCAGGTGCTAACTCCTCAAAGTCGCTGAGGGGACTGGCCTCAGCCTTCACAGGGAATGAGCTGGTATTCATTGAAAAGCGGGTAAGTACACTTGCCTTCACAGGGAATGAGCTGAGAAGAAGGGTAAGCTTCTCAGCCCCCTGTGAGGCCGACACAAAAGGACCCTAGGAACTATACAGTTCCCGCTTGCTGCCGACTTTCCATAATGGGTGTGACCCGTGGGAAAGTTCTGGGCGAGCTGCTCGCCCAGAATGTTCCCACGGTTGTGGCTGTACATTTCTGGGCGAGTCGCTCGCCCAGAACGTTCCCACGGGTTCGCGCGCGCGCGTCATTATGTGAAACAGTGGGGGGAAGGATAAGGGGAATGGGGAAATGTGGAGAGAGGGTGGTTAGGAGAAGGGTGAGGGTGTCTGAGGGTGAGTGGGGTCAAGGGCTGTGCCCTGACAGGGGGGGGAGAAATGGTCCGGTGCTATGTGATAAAAAGATAAATTTGTAAATCTCACTGATAATCAAACTAATGGGAACTCTGTCCCTGCACTATGTCTTGAGCCTCTTTGGCTTCGTATTTGCCGCTCTGGGTGCTGGTAACGTCTGCTAGAACTTCATGTTCTTGTTGGGGAGCACCTCTCTCTGTTTGGGGGAGTCCTTTTTTTTTGTAAATACAGGAAACAGGGTAACTATAAATATGAAAGAAATACGTGGAAATCCGAATGATCCGACGGGTTTAGGATGGCAACAGATCCACAAGGAACAAATAAGAAAAAAGCAATATCAAAGAAATATTGATGTTGTTAAGGATATAAGGAACCATGGCGATCGGAACAACCGCTGAGCCAAATCCGTCGCTCGTAACATTGTTCGACTCGTGTTGACAAGGGCTTTCCAACGATACCAAATTCGTCCGGATCGGTGGAGAATTGATGGAGATACAGAGGAAGCGGCGGAATATGCGGGTGACAGTTGCCCAATTTGGAAACTGATGGTTGTCCGTGGTCAGGAATGGCTTGAAAAAATCGGAAAAAATATAGGAAACGTGGAAGGGGTATCTGGAACAATGGTAGATGTGTTTCGGGGGTGGAGTGCTTGACATTGGTGGTAGAATCGCGATAATCGGCTCGTTTGCGTGGTACTGGCTGTGCCCGCCTACAACGTCCGGACCCGCTTCCACCCACTGCACTTTCCTGCATGCTCTGTGCGCTGCATGCTCCGGGACCGGTTCCTACCCCTTCATGTGACTTCCGGGTATCCCCGGAAGTTTTGCTGATATTGGGGCCACTGTGGGAAGATGAGAGGTTAGCTTCCTTCTCAGCTTCTTACCCACAGTAGGTTGTGCCCTGGATAGGGCTGGTTACACCACAGGGCTGTGGGCCATAGGGGAGGGTCATGGGGACCCGGGAGTCGTCCCCTGACAGTTAAATGGCAATGACATTGAGTGTTGTGGAGCTGAACAATGCCTGGCATGGTATATAAGACATGTGGAATGACGGTGGGGTTGTGTCAGGGCACACCCGCCTGACCCGGCTCCACCTGGCCCAACCTGACCCAGTACCCCGCTGTCCACCCTTCCTCACCTCCTCCCCCTTCCCCTTCTACTCTCCTCATTCTCCCTTCCTCACTTTCTTTCTATCTTACTTCTTCTTTATTCTCTCTTTATTCTACATGGACGACCTTCCCACATTGGGCCTGTCAGTACGCACGCCCGATCTGCCCCCCGCCAGGCTCTCAGCCCCGGACGCTACACCCAGGCTCCCTCGACCCCTGATGAGTCCCTGACAGGTTGGAGGCTAGCTCTGTTCTCAGCTACTTACAATGTCGAACACTGGACAGCTCGATAAGGCTTACTATGTCAAGAACAAGGACCAGCGACATACCTGGAATATGGCCTATCTTCTAGGCTTGACTCAGGATAAACCATTGCCAAAGAGCTGTCAGAAGCAGTTTACAATTTTATTGAAAATGGACATCTTGACTATCTTCCGGATGATTCAGAAGTTACCTTGAATGCTCTCTCAGATGGTGGTGGTGACATTACCACTATGCCAGTCAGGATCCCCAACAATTGTAAGTCTGGTTCCCTTAGCCTCCTAATCTGACCCTTGGCAACGCTTTTTATTTCCAGGGGAAGACAAATCACCCGATGATCCTGTTCGTGCCCATGTTCAGGCATACATTGCTGCAAAGGATAGTGGCCAATTTCCATATTCCGCTGAACCCATCCACCCCCTTCCAACTCAGACACCCATGTCCAATGCCCCCATCTATCTTGGTCAATGGGGTCCTGTCACTGTGCTCAATCCAGCACCCGCATATGCCAGTGCAATCCATCAGCCTTCGTCCCACACTGAACCACCCACAGTGGGGTCAGCCCCTGGGCCAGCAGCTGCATCGAAGGACAACAAGTTAAAGGGAAAACAAAAAGAGAAACTTAATGAGAAGGGCACGAAAGGTATGTCCCAGCATCTTACTACCTCTTTTCAAGCTCACTTTTGTTTAGAATTTGAGTATCAATTCATGTTGAACATGATGGATCTGAAGAAAGAGAATGAAACAGTCTATCTTCCTGACTCGAAATCCCAATCAGCGCAAGAAGTGCTTGATGAGATTTTAGGCAGGATGAAGGTGGAACTCTCTGTCCACCAGATTGGATATCGTCTGTCTGATGAGAAGGAATGCATCTTCACTCGGATTCATGATGTGAAAGATTTTGCTCATGCAATTGAGGCTCAGTATGATATTCAATCCCGAGCATACAAGTCAAAGAAATTACGCATTATTAACAAGGTTAATCTACTGTGCCATAGATATACTACACAAGTCTTACCATGTGTGGCTCTAGGATGCAGTCAAAAAGGAGTTTAAATGCGTGGCAATCAAGAAGCGCTGCACAGCCACAGCCTCGACTGTCATGCAGCACTCATCCACACATCAATCAATTTATGAAGAACTCTGTAAGAGGCTCTGGTGCCACACTTGTGCACAACACTGCTATCGTCACCCTGCTGCGGAGTTCTGCCATTTGCTTGTCAGTGATGAGGCACTCACTGTCTGGGCAAGAGCAATGGCATGTTCATTTCACACTCATATGCCTTCCCACCGAGACTGACCAATTCCATAGACTGATGGCATCAAAGGAGTTTCCTTTACTGAGCCACCCTAGAGCCATCTTTTCAGTGCTTCGCCTCTCAAACCCATACAGGGTGGTTCCCACACCCGGAGGTGGCCATGATCTGCTACCCCTCCATCTCTGACACTGATGCTGGCCAAGCACAGGAAGCCTCTTGGTGAGGTTATTCCCAAGAAACAAGTGCCCTCAAAGCACTTCAAAGAGGCTAAACAGCCCCTGGGTTGTCATCAAACTCTTCTCCCACGCTCATCTGCTGCCTCAGAGAATAAGCCAGTCATTCTTGTCCCAGCGACTCTGAGTCCAAAGACTCGCACATATGTTCTTGATCTTTCTCCAAGTCCAATCAAACATGCTTCAACTTCACAACATGCAAATGTCCCCCAAACCCCATCAGTCTCATGCACCGCACCTTGCTCTTGTGCAGAACACCAGGGCAAGCCAGGCTCACCCCCACCTATCGAAATTTCTTCTGATTCAAGCTCTCCAAATGCGTGCATTCAACTATGCTCACCACCAGTGACACACCTTCTTGATTCTGGCTCTGATTTTGTGTGTGATGACGCATCCGGTGAAATTATTCATGATGAACCACTTGATGACCAATATGGTGATTTTCCGCAATGGTTCCAATGTACCATATGAGTGTCTACTGACGACAAATTTCTGAGAACTTCATGTGTATTCCAACTTTCTACTCACTCTGTATATTCAAGTTTCTGGACACACAAAGTATATTGTACATAGTTTCTGTGCATAGTGTAGTATAGCAAAACAAATGAAGTCATTAAAGGTAACCTGAATGATGGAACCATCTGCATGCTTGATGAGTGGTCACAGAGAAGATGGCTCTTATGAGCAGGTCTGCTGCTCAGTGGAATGACTCGGACAAAAATTCATTATCAATGTAGTCTCGGTTCCTCTGGAGCCATTGCTTGATTGTTGAAAATGCCTCCTCTATTGGGTTGAAGTTGGGGGAATAGGGAGGAAGAAATTCAAGCTTGACACCTCTGCAATACCCTGAGTATTACTGAGTCTAAGTTGAAAACCATGTGCACTGCTCATAACACATTTCTACAAGTGCCTCAGACTTATGAATTGAGGCATTGTCCATAACCAGGACAGATTGTGGCTGGGGATATGGGTTCATGCGAATAAGAATTGAAGCAATAAGGTTGTTGAATGATTCAGCAGTATACGCGTTTTTCTGAATATCAACATGAATGATTCCATTCGCTGACAGTGCAGGAAGAACAGAGTATCTGAGTAAAAGTTAAGCATCAAAGATCCCAGATAGAGGTTCAGTACGAACTTGGTACCACGCACAAAAAAATCGTGTCAGCATGCTCTCTCTCCACATGGTGCCCAGCCATATGTGCATGAGGATGTGTGATGGTTTACCCCTGTCTCATCAACAAAGACAAGTTGATTTGCATGGTAAGTTGCCCTCATATACCTCCTGAAATCAGCTTGCAGCTGTTCATCGCATTCAGCTGCTGGCTTCTGGAGCTGGCAAATGGGTACTTAGACTTTGAAAGTGAGTCAGGTGGGGAAGACAAACCTTCTTCCGGGTGAGACCACACCTGTGTAGCTCTCTGGAAATTGTCTGGGTCCTTGTTTCGATCTCAAGCTCATTTCTGAGTGCGGCCTGTAATTCATCAAGATTCAAATCCGGCTTTTGTTCAATGAGGCTGTCGAGGAACTTGAGATTGTGAGCCAGAACAGTCAATGTAGATGTAGCTTTCAGAGTTACATTCACTGCATGAAAACTAAGCATTCGGTGTCACCCTCATGTCTCATCCTGGCAACGGTGATGCTCATAGGGAGCAGCAGGCAACTTCCAAACAGTGCATTTGGACACTCCTGAGACCTGGGCAATCTCCTGTTGAGTCAGCCTCGAAGATAGCGAGACCAAGATATCTTTTGCACCGGGCTCAAGATGTTTCCCCATGCCGGCTGGACAAGATGGAGGTTGTCACTGCAGTACCGCCAGCATCTGAGCACCACATTTAGGGGGGTTCCACAGTGCCATTGGGGTTTCCATTAAAATGTTCAAAACATGCCGATTTTGGAAGCGGGTGACTCACTTACGTTGAAATCCCAACTGGCAGATTTTTCTGTCCCCTGCTGTAGCACCCCATCTGACTTGTTCGCCAGTCCAATACAGTGTGCAAGAGCTCTAAGTGGCGCTCCGAACATCGAGCAGGCCGCGATCGGAGCTGCTATTTGTATTGTAAGTACGGTCAGGGTTTCAATGTAAATAATCGGCATGTGAACGAAATGTCCCTGGATCTGAATCGTGTGTGTCGCAAGAGACAGTGGGGCCCAGGCCGCATCCCTCAATAACCCAAACGGTGTAATCTGCGCAAGGTCTTAGTGGGTGGTGGCAGTGCCACCCCCATTTGACCACATTCATACCCCATCACTCCTATATCACGCAACCACATGCATTCCCCCCAAATGGGACATAGCCACCTGCTTGGTTCGTGCTTTCTTCATGATGATGATAAATCTATCTCAATACCCCACAGCCTCGTGATGTCATGGCAGTGTGGCTGTCCCGTCGATACACTGTAAGCATGAGGGGGACTTTCTATAAAGTAAATAAGCTATACACGCGGTCTCAGTCTCGAACAAGAGAACTGAGTTTATTGTTCCTTTACCTATACGCGCGGTCTGTAAATACAGTCAGAACTCGCATACAAGGAATAAAGTAAAAGAAAAAGGATATCACCTTAGTCTCGAACAAGAGAACTGAGGGGGTGTGAAAAATTTCCGCGCACAGTGTGTTTTATACACCTAGCGCTAATATCGCTTATAGCGACTGCCTGCTATAACCGGCAATGAAGAGTGCATCAAGACAAAAAGGTATATACGATATCCTCAATTGATATCGCGTCAATAAAGAAAATATCAGTACCCATGGACATTGATATTCCAATACGCCCACTCAATGAACATTGGCGTTAATGATTCCCATCCCTTTGGTGAACTTCTCGTGTTTGATCTGCACAAGTCCTTTGGTGAGAACGTTGGCTACTTGATCAGCCGTTGGGACATAGTCAAGATCCACATCGCCGTTGTTGATGCACTCGCAGATGAAATGTTGCCTAACACGGATGTGCTTTGTGCGCGCGTGGTAAGCAGGGTTGATGGCTAAGGCGAGGGCACCTTGATTGTCACCGAGAATAGTATGAGGAATAGAGCGGGATTTGAGAACATCACCGATAAGTTGTTGAATCCATATTGCCTCCTTGGAAGCATGGGTAAGCGCCATATACTCCCCTTCCATGCTGGACAGCGCAGTGGAAGACTGCTTCTTCGAACTCCAGGACACGGCAGCTCCAGCGATTTTGAATACAAAGCCAGAAACAGATTGGTGGTTGTGTGGGTCACCAGCCCAATCAGAATCAGAGTAACCTGTGAAGTCGTTATCGCGAGCTTTACCATTGTAAACCAGCTTGTAGTTCTGTGAATAGTTAAGGTATCTGAACAAGCGGTTGACGGCGATAAGATGTTCCTTCCCAGGATTAGCGGAATATTGACTCAAAGCGCCCACTGCATAGGCGATATCGGGACGTGTGCCAAGCATCGCGTACATAATGCTGCCGATTCGTGACTGATAATCGCGGACGTCAACTTCAGGTGAATCAAGTTGGGGCAACTTGAAGTTAGATGCGATCGGGGTAGAGATTGGACGACAATTAGTGAAATGGAAACAAGTAAGAATATCCTTGACGTAACGAGTTTGGGAGATGTAGATCAAGCACTGAGCTCGATCGCGAGTAATCTCGAGTCCTAGAAACCAGTGAATCTCTCCAAGATCCTTCATCTTGAACGTTTTCATGAGCTGGGACTTCTTGAGATTAAGAAGGCTGGGGTCGTTAGAAAGGATCATGAGATCGTCAACATAGAGGGCAATGATGCAAAAAACTTTGTCCTTCCCACGAAGAACAAACACAGCGTGGTCAGAGTCGCACCGGCGGAAGCCGAGTTTCGCGAACTCTTTCTTCGCCTTCTCATACCACGACCTTGAAGCTTGCTTCAGGCCATACAGACTCCTTTCCAACTTCCAAATGACATTCTCCTTCCCATAATCGGCGCTCCCCATAGGTGGATTCATGTAGATAACGTGTTCAAGATCGCCGTTCAAGAAGGCGGTTTTCATGTCCATCTGGTGTACCTCAAGATCAAGTCATGCGGCAATAGTGAGTAGGATTCGGATTGATACCCACTTGACAACAGGTGCGAAGGTTTCGTCGTAGTCAACTTGATAAATCTGACCAAAACCTTTGGCAATGATTCTAGCCTTGTAACGTTCAACAGATCCATCTGCCCCCTTTTTCAACGCAAATACCCAATGACAACCAACGACATTTCGAACGTCTACCTCATCAGTACTAACCGCAACATAAGTTCGGGTTTCCTTCAAGGACATCAGTTCGTCATGGCAAGCCTCAAGCCAGGCGTCGGAATCGGGGCGATTCATGGCATCATGATAGGTGCGTGGGACTTCAGTTTGGGCAACGCAAGCATGCTCTTCGCCCACTCATTTGGCATACTGACCTGTTCTATCGTATGAATTGACAAAATATCGATCGTCGTCATCTCGAATCTGTGTACACCATTCGCGCGTCGACCATCGGGAGCTTCCGGCACCATTTTGTCCTCTTACTCTCCCAACGTGCCAACCTCCAATCCCCCATCATTATCATCTTCCATCTCGTCCAGTCCACCAACTTCTCCGTCCACTATTCCCTTCTCACCACTTTCCTCCACTGCCTTTCTAACGCTTCCATCACCCTCTGCCATATCATCCTTATCAACCACGTGTGAAGACGAATCCACAGACGAGGATTCAATTGTCACCCGTTCGGGTTCAGGTGATTCCTCAAAGAAGTGAACATCGCAGGATTCGTGAATTTTACGAGTTTCAGGCTCATAAATCACAAAAGCCTTCTTGCTGGTAGCCATTCCCAGGTGAATCCCAGTGATGGAACGTGCAGCAAGTTTATCCCGTTGTCTTTCAGGAATAGCGAGGGTGGCTTTACAGCCAAAGGTGTGTATGGTAGAAACTGATGGCTTGTTTCCTGTCCAGAGCTGGAACGGTGAAGTACCATCAGGGAGAGCGGAATGGGGAACGATATTTTTAATGAGTGCAGCA